GAAGAAGTACCGTATATTTCAAATACGTTGTAGCTGATTTATTTTTTTTCGGTTTACAGAATGGAAGAAGCGAGGCTTTCGATGCACATGAGAGAGCAGAAGGTTGCGGATGCGGCTGAGCTGATTGAAAAGGATTTGGTTTTGCTGGGAGCAACTGGGATAGAAGACAAGTTGCAGGATCAGGTGCCTGAAACCATAGCCGCGTTTCTGCTTGCCAACATCCACGTGTGGATCCTTACCGGCGACAAGCAAGAAACAGCCATCAATATCGCTTACTCGTGCAAACTGATCGACCCGACGATGGCTCTCCTCATCGTCAACGAGGATTCCTTGGATGTGAGTACAATAAATTACTTTTTGAAGCCTGAATTAATTTATAATTTTTTATGCGGTATTCTGGGTCAATCCTCATTGATGTTCGAGATGACGAGCCTAAAATGAGCTCAAATGAAAATACTGTAGTTGATTTAAAAAAAAAAGAGTTCAATTGAAGATTGGGTGGAGTTATTGATGAAGTCGAACTTCAAGGGACCTTAAAAAGAATTCAAGTGTGGGACGTAAACATTTTTTGTTGCGGGGAAGTGAGAAGAATTGCAAAAAATTTTAATTGGTGATATTCTAAGCCTCGAATTGCTTTTTAAAGGTGTGGACAGAATGTTGAACTTGGAGGAAAGGGTTCAGTTACTCAATTTTTTTCCCTTCTTTTCAAACCCCGTCAATTTAAATTTTTATTGCTTTTATCTTTCCTGTGTCAATAAAATATTAGCTGAAAGGCCTCCAGAAAATTAAAGTTACGGAGATTTGAGGGGGAAGCTTAGAGCTTAGAGTTAGTGAGGTTTTTAATGCATCATTTCCTAGGGAATCCAGAGAAGGGACTTGAGAAAGATCGACTTGAGGATGTTAGAGTCATTGAGTTTCAACTGTACTTCTTCGTTTGTTTTATGTCCCCTGCAAAGAAAAAAAAAAAAAGAACTGTCAAAGTAAATTTTAAAAAATTTAAGAGAGCGGATTGCTGAACTCTGTTGAACTAGTTCTGATTTTTTCAAGACTTGCAGTTTTTTTTATGCTTTTTCTCTTCTTTTTTCGCGTTTATGTTGTAGCGGCCACTGTAATATACAATATTTGTGTTATTTAGGCGACTCGAGAGACTCTGTTGAAGCATGTTCACGAGTTTGGTGA